TCTCTCCCACCCCGAAGATGACCACTCTTTGGGTACTGCTGCACGTTGCTGCTCACCGTGACTACGAGCTCCACTCTCTCGACTTCAGCACTGCTTTCTTGCAGGGCAGCCTGCACAAGGAGATCTGGCTGCGCCGCCCACCTGGCTTCACTGGGTCGTTCCCTCCTGGTACCCAGTGGAGCCTCCGGCGTCCAGTTTACGGTCTCCGCCAGGCGCCACGTGAGTGGCACGAAACACTGAGAACTACACTTGCGGCTCTTGGGTTTGCTCCTTCTACTGCCGGCCCGTCGCTGTTTCTACGCATCGACACCTCTCTGCCGCCGTTCTACATCCTCATGTACGTCCACGACTTGGTCTTTGCCACAGCTGACATAGCTGGACTCGCCTACGTGAAGTCCGAGCTGCAGAAGAGACACACGTGCACAGACCTGGGTGAACTGCGCAGCTACCTTGGCTTGCAGATCACCCGGGACAGAGCACGCCGCACCATTACCCTGACTCAGTCACACATGGTGCAGCAGGTCCTTCAGCGCTTCGGCTTCACGTACTCCTCGCCTCAGGCCACTCCTCTGCCTACTCGCCATTCGCTCTCAGCTCTGCCTTCGGATGAGTCCGTAGAGTCGAGTGGCCCGTACCCAGAGCTTGTTAGCTGCCTCATGTACCTGATGACCTGCACACGACCTGACCTTGCTTACCCTCTTAGCATTCTCGCACGCTATGTTGCTCCTGGGAGACACCGACCAGAACACATGGCTGCAGCAAAGAGGGTTTTGCGCTACTTGTGCACTACGTCGGGCATGGGGCTAGTGCTTGGAGGGCGCAGTCCAGTGGTCCTTACTGGGCACGCAGACGCTTCTTGGGCTGACGACCAGGCTACGCAGCGGTCGTCACAGGGTTACACCTTCAGCCTTGGTTCTGGCTCTGTCTCGTGGCGGGCTACTCGCTCGTTTTCTGTTCTCGCCTCCACTTGTGAGGTTCAGATCTACGCAGGGGCCATGGCTGCACAGGAGCTTTGCTGGCTCACCTACCTGCTGACTGACCTCGGAGAGCCGCCTCGTTCTCCTCCAGTGCTGTACGTCGACAACAAGGCCATGCTGACCTTGTGTCGAGAGCAGCGCCTGGAGCACAGAACAAAGCACATTGCTCTCCGCTACTTTCTTGCTCGTGAGCTACAGCAGCGTGGACACTTGCGGCTTGCGTACGTGGCCTCTGAGGCCAACACTGCTGATGTTTTCACCAAGGCACTTGCGCCTTGTGATCATCAGCGCTTCTGCACTCAGTTGGGTCGTGTCCCTGTCTTGCCTCACTTGCTCACCTCTTGACCTTGCTTGTACTGTTACATATATATATACCTGCTCTTGCTTGTCTAGCCTTATATATATATGTACTCCTGCATGTGAACTGGCCTTGTGGCCTTGTACTTGTGCTCGGAATGTGTGGTGAATTTGTGATCCACCCTGAGCTTTGCTTTGTTTTGCTTTGCTTGACTAGTCTTGTGACCCCCTTTTCTCCCCCACTTTGCCTATGGGGGTGTTTCAGAACATTATAGCTTATGCTTTTGTGTAGGCTGTAGTGGGGTATCCCATAGGGGGTACAACCCAATTAGGGTAAGTACTTGTACCCACTTCATTCATAGTTCATTCATTCTCGTTTCAGTATTCTCACCGCTTCCTCCTGCGGTCCCAGGCACACACCTGATGGCACTGCGTCCGTCCACTGCTCCTCTATGTGTCCCGTTGCCGTCTCCTCCTGAGTCCTCTCTTCTTGTCCTTGCTGACCCGGAGTCTCACTCTCTCCGTGCTGCCAGTTCTACTGTCACGCGTCTCCTGGCTACTGTTGTCACTGACCCTTCCTTTGAGTCCACTGCTGCGTCTGCCTTAGTTGCTGAGCTTGTCGACTTTGCTGCTCGTTGTCGTCTAGACTACGCTGCTAGTCTCGTTGCTGAGTCTGCGTCTGTCTGTCCTCCATCCGTCGGGGGCGAGTGTGCTCTTAGCACGGACGTCCTTGAGGACAGGCAGGAGGAGTTCCAGTGTTTTGCTGCTGCTTTGACTCATCTTGTGTCCACGCTGATTGCCCCTGAGGGAGACCCGGATGCACCAGACATCCCGACTCCTCGATCGTACGCTGAGGCGATCGAGGGTCCCTACTCCTCTCAGTGGCAGTCACCCATGGATGTAGAGATGGCTTCCTGGAAGTCCACAGGCACCTACGTCGACAAGGTTCCCCCACCTGGGGCGAACATTGTCAGTGGCATGTGGATTTTCAGGGTGAAGCGGCCGCCGGGTTCTCCGCCTGTTTTCAAGGCGCGTTACATGGCTGGAGGCTTGAGTCAGCGGCAGGGAGTTGACTACTTTCAAACCTTCTCTCCCACCCCGAAGATGACCACTCTTCGGGTGCTGCTGCACATAGCCGTTCAGCGCGACTACAAGCTTCACTCTCTTGACTTCAGCACTGCTTTCCTACAGGGCAGCCTGCACGAGGAGATCTGGGCGCCTACTATATCCTACTCATCGTCTATGTAGACGACCTACTCTACATAGGTTCCAGTGACGGCATCACATACTGGTTTGAAGGGGAGCTGCAGCGGGACCTCACGCTCACTGTCTCGTCTACTATGACACAGTACCTGGGACTCAACATACAAGACGGGGAAAAAGCAATCTACCTCAGCGCCGCAAAATACGCCGACACTATCGCCAAGCGCTTCGGAGTAACCCCAGCCGCCATCACCACACCATACCGCTATACTGATGGAAGTTGCAAGGAAACCTCCACTCTGCTCAAACCCGCCGGCATTCGCGACTACCAACAAAAGCTAGGTTGTCTACTGTTTGCAGTCGTTACCTGCGGATCGGATCTATCGTACTCAACAAGCCAACTCGCCACCGATCTCAAGAAGCCTGAAGCGGAACACATGACGGAGCTCGACCGTGCTCTTCACTACCTTATCAGCACTCCGACGATCGGCCTAACCTACCACAAGAGCGGAACCTCTACACCTAAGCTAATCGGCTATGTAGATGATGACCACGCCGGCGACTCCGACAACAAACGATCGCGCACCGGCTACATCTACCGACTCAAGCCTCTCGGACCTATCTCGTGGCAGTCGAGCAAACAAGAATTAATCGCTCTCTCCTCAGCTAAAGCAGAATATAATGCACTCTGCTCAGCCACCAAGGAAGGATTGTACCTTCGCGAACTACTGGAAGAAGCAAAGTTGGCTCAGTTACCCAGCTTCTCCCTGTTCTGCGACAACCAATCGGCCACTCACATAGCGAACAAGAATGGGTTCGCGAATTGAATGAAGCACATCGCCCTCCG